GATGGTTTCACAGCTGGATGCACAGGCACCAAGTGCACCTGATCACACACCTTAAGTGTGCATAGTTTGGGCAGGATTTGGCCCAGTGGTTAAGACACCCCGAGTTCCTATCTGGAGTGCCTGGGTTTGATCCCCGGACCAGCCCCTGATTCTAGCTTCCTGAGAGCACAGACCCACCAAGGCAGCAGCTGGGTCCCTGCCACCCACGGAGTTTGGACCCACCCAGCTCAGGGGGTTGGGCCAGTCAATGGGAGCCTGCTCTATTTTTCTACCTCTCAAATAAATAAAAATTAAACAAACAAACAAGAACAAAAACGTTAGCCTTGGGGCTGGCAATGTGGCTCAACAGGCTAATCCTCAACTTATAAGCACCAGCATCCCAAAGGAGTGCCGCTTTGTGGTTCATGTCTCAGCTGCTCCACTTCCAATACAGCTCCCTGCTTGTGACCTGGAAAAGCAGAGGACGGCTGCAGCCCTTGGGATCCTGCACCCACGTGGTTCTCAGCCTTGGATCAGCTCAGCTCCGGCCATGGAGAACATTTGGGGAATGAATCAGATGAAAAATCTGTCTATCAGTGTCCCTTTCTAGCTATAAAACTACTTTTCCAATAAAAAACAAACAAAAAACGAAATAAAACTCTTCCTCCTGAAAAAAAAAAAAAACAGGCTCAATATCCATATCAAAAAATATACGCCTCTCTCTGGAAGAACTGCGCTATTTTCCATGGTTTATTTCCTACTGGAAAGTCAGCTTTACAGAGAGGAGAGACATCTTCCATCTTCTGGTTCACTCCCCAAGCAGCCACAACGACCAGAGATGAGCCAATCCGAAGCCATGAGTCTCTTCCGGGTCTCCCATGTAGGCACAGGATCCCAAGGTCTTGGGTCCTCAACTGCTTCCCCAGGCCACAAGCAGCAAGCTGGAAGGGAAGTAGCATGGCCAGGATATGAATCGGTACCCACATGGGATCCTAGCTCATGCAAGGTGAGGACTTCAGCTGCTACGCTACTGAAGCAGGCTCTGTCTTCACTTTTGTTATCATTTCCTTGCTTTTCTTTTACTTTTTCTCCTACCAATACATTTCTGTACAGTGTTTGTCTTTTCCACATACACAACTTACTTTTTCCTCACAAGGCTGTAAAATGCATCCAAGTTGCTTTGTGTAGCTCCAGTGTGTACACATGGGTGTAAATCTACTTGATGAATATTTAAATTGTTGCATTCAGTTTGATGAAAACACTTGAATATTCTTGGTGTATCTGAACAACACATTGAATTACAGAAGTGTACAGCATTCACCTCTAACTCTCTTATGGCTACATTTGTAAAAAATAAATGGTTATATCTCTTCCGGACTAGGGTGAGGAGATTTCTCTGGTCCTTAGTTCCAACTTTGGATACCCACCCTCTCCTGCAATGACCATCAGGGTCGCCCCAGAGGCTCCCCCTAAAAACAAAACAAAACAAAACAACAACAAAAATTAGAATAGACAGAGAACAAAGAAAGCTTAGAACCAGACAGGAAACAGTCAGCAAGGACTCACATATACCTTACTAGGTAGGACACGAAGATAAGTTACTCCTCACTGGGGAATTGAAGATTTCTCTGCACATCCCTCCTAAACCTGTTCTGTGCCTTAACTGTTGACATATGCCTTGTTAGTTATAAGCCAGTTTGGACTATCCTAAAATCTGCCAAATTCAGTAAAAATTAGCTTCAATACAATAAACTGCTAAATACAAAATTGAAAATAGACATGAGACAGCTGAACAGTAATCTACAGCCATTTTAAGGTGGATAGAAGCCAGTTGTATATAAACTAAAATTGAAATGTCCATGAAGTAGTCACAGCATGTAGTTAAGAACTTGCATTTTTTAACATATCAGTCACTCCATACCATGTCAATTAAGTCCATAATGTTGTAAACTGTTATCAATGCTATGTTATGGCTTTTAATTGGTCGGGACTATTCTGCCAGCTCTGCTTTTAGACCAGAGATGGTCTCCCGAAGAAACTGTTGAATTTATCTGGACAATAAGATGCTGGACTCTATGCATGTACATGCTTGCAATGAAAGAAGCACAACTGGATTTGAACTGTAATACTGCAATAGAGTGGAGTAATCCACCATGGGGGGAGGGTACGGGAAGGGGTTGGAGGAACCTCAGAGCCTATGAAACGATGTCATAAAATGAAATGCAATACAAAAATAAATGGTTATATATATATAAACATGAATAACCATATAACATAGCCAGTAGGTGTGAATATATATGTAAGTTACTTACTTACTTGAAAGGCAGACAGATTTTTTTTGTATACTGATTTATTCTCCAAATGACCGCAACATTTAATTCTGTGCCAGGCTGAAGTCAGGAATTCCATGGGTCTCCTACAGGGGTAGCAGTGACCTAAGGACTTGTACCATCATCTACTATAGAAAGATGGATTGGAAGCAAAGCAGCCAGGATTGAGCAGGCATTCTGACAAGGGATGCTGGTGTGGCAAGCAGCGGCTTAACTTTCTGCACCACAATGCTCGCTCCACTCCCCAGATGGCCTTAATGACCAGGAGAGAATCAGGAGCCAGGAGCTTCATCCAGGTCTCCCATATGGGTGGCAGCAGCCCAAATACTTGGCTGGGAAAAGCAGCAGAAGATGGTCCATTAGCAAGGAGTTGGATCTGAAGTGGTGTCACTGAGACAAGAACTAGTGCCAATATGGGATGCTGACAGGACAGATGGCAACTTTAACCACTACACTACAATGCCAGCCCTGAATTACATATTTTAGTGAGAAATCTGATTTTCATAAGGTAAATTTACTTTTAAAATTAGCTTCTAGGGCCCGGCGCGGTGGCGCAAGTGGTTAAGTCCTCGCCTTGCACGCCCGGGATCCCATATGGGCGCCGGTTCTAATCCCGGCAGCCCCGCTTCCCTTCCAGCTCCCTGCCTGTGGCCTGGGAAAGCAGTCGAGGACGGCCCAAAGCTTTGGGACCCTGCACCCGTGTGGGAGGCCCGGAAGAGGCTCCTGGCTTCGGATCGGCATAGTATCGGCCCGTTGCGCTCACTTGGGGAGTGAATCATCGGACGGAAGATCTTCCTCTCTGTCTCTCCTCTCTGTATATCCGCCTTTCCAATGAAAAAATAATAAAAATAAATCTTTAAAAAAAAAAAATTAGCTTCTAGGTAAAGCAAAGCTATCTTCTAAAATTGTTGTACCAGTTCAGTTACACTGCAGCACACAAATTTGTTGCTTCAGTTTCAACACTAGGTATTGTTAAGGCTCCAACATTTCTGCGATCCTTATGGATGTGTAATTGCATTCATAGAGGTTTCAATCTGAACCTTTCCATTTCAGTCCATTTGGTTTCTACAAAAATTTCAAAAAGTCTGTGGAAAACAAAATGCTAAATTTTGGTGCAAAAATTCATAGTACACATTTCCCATGGAAGTTTTGAAGATTCTTTTTATATGGGACAAAAGAGAATCTTAATCCTTAACACCACAGCTGGATGGTAATCCCAGGTGCAGTGTAAATTTAAATGTGAAAAGCAGATGGTTTTCATATGAGATGGGGCTGGGGACAGAACTGACCATGCGACTGCAACCACCAGCATGTGTGTAGGTTGATGTGGGTGACAGATTAAGCCAGATCTCACACTCACTGGCATACACAGGAGTCAAGCCTGGGGTCACCTAAGGTGAAGGCTCTTTGGGGGCCTCCTAACTAGATCACCGGACTTACAACTCCAATCACAGGATCTATGGTCTGACTCTGGAGTCCATGTGTCAGAATGGGCCTCCTTGGTTGCTTAAGCCTATGCAGTGGACAATATGTCCAAGTGTTTATGGAGGACATGACAGCTCAAGCACCTCATTGGGGATTGCAGAGGACATCTATTTGGTAGCATGGCATAAAATGGAGCGCAGAACAAATTGCACAACAAATTGCATCTTGGCCCAGTTTTGACAGCAAGTACCTGGGCCAAGAGAGACTCTAAGCTGGTAGAGACGCTAAGCTGGATTATGTAAGACAACAGACCTTGGAAGGATTTCTTCAACCTTGGAGCAATGAAATCAACAGCATCTCAGAACTATCGAAATCACTTAAGCAGTACCCTCAGAACATGCTCCACATTGGGGACCCTAGGATAACACTGAGTGCCTGTTCTCCATCCATAGGTGCCAATGCTGCTGGAAGTGGCCCTCTCCTCTATTCCCCGACACAGGAAGAGAAAAAAAATTGGAAGCAACTGTCTCATCCACTTTCTCCCATTCCTCGACCCTTTCCATCCTAATTAGTGGTCCATGTGGGTGTGCGTCATTAACTATATGAACATCAAACCAAAATAAATTATATAAAAAGGAATCACAAAATTTACTTTTATCATATAAAAATAAAATTTGGTTCATTAAATGATACCATTAGGAAAGTGAAAAACTGATTAAAACAAAAACAGGACAGATGAAAAGATAAGCCAAAGGAGCAAGAAGACATTTGTAAAAAGCAAACTTTCAGGTCTGGTGTGGTAGCCTACTGGCTAAAGTCCTCGCCTTGCATGCGCCAGGAACCTATATGGTGCCAATTCATATCCCAGCTACTCCACTTCGCATGCAGCTCCCTGCCTATGGCCTGGGAACGCAGTTAAGGATGGCCCAAAGCCTTGGGACCCTGCACCCACATGGGAGATGCAGAATCTACTGGCTCCTGGCTTCGTATCTATGCAGTTCTGGTTATTGTGGCTATTGGGGAAGAGAACCAGCAGATGGAAGATCTTTCTCTTGGTATCTCCTCTCTGCAAATCTGCCTTTCCAATTAAAATAATAATAATAGTAAAACTTAAAACTGTGGATCAATCACAAATGGATTATAACCCTAAGTAGGGCTTTTTTTTTCTGGTTGCAACAACAGAAATATAAGAGAAAAAGAAAAGTACTGGCTTAAATATCTTAGTTACATAAATTAAAACATGTTACACTAGAGCCCCAGACTCACAGCAATCATCAGGTCTTGGTCTTTCTTCTCTTCATCTTAATTTCTTCATTCTTCTGTGTGAGCTTGATTCTGTCAGGCAGCCAGGCAATGTTAGTGAGAACTATTCATTCCTAACAGTATTTTCAGAATCAGCCCAACTTAATTTATACATGCTTAGTTGAGGCTCTTTTGCCTACTTGTATTTCTGGTCTAGGAGTAGTGAAAACATGCTTTCCCAAAGAAAAACCAAAATTGTTACCAGAAAAGGTGTTTGTTTGGGGAGGAGGTGTAGGGGGAGTGACAGAATTCCAGAGGGAAAAAACATCCATGCACCATTCAGGGACAAAATGTGCATACCATATCAATGCACTGGTTTTGGTTCCAGCTGCTCCACTTCCCATCCAGCTCCAGCTAACGCACCTGGCAAAAGCAGCACAGCATAACCCGAGGGTTTGGGAGACCGCATGCTTACTGGTTCCTGGTTTCAGTCTGGTCCAGCCTCAGCCAACAGTGGCTTTTTGAGGAGTGAAAGAGCAGATGGAATCTTTTTCTCTGTAAACTCAGCTTTTCAATGAACACAATTAATCAACTGAAAATGAAAGAAGCCTTAACTTGCAGCTTCCTATCTATCTACGTCAAACTAATATGTTAGTAAAAGTAATCTACAGTTCTTTCCTCTCTAGAGTATCTAAGCTGTTTGATAAAAGCCTCTTGAACTGCTAGGAGAATGGAAATTGAGGTTCTTAGCAGATCTCGGACACATCTCTTTACACTATTTTATACACCAGAAGCAATGTACAGTTCCAGTTGTAAAACAAGCCTAACAAAGCAACCCTCCTCTACCAATGTTGAAGATGTTTTAGTTTGGTAGTCATGGGCCTTCATGAAATCACTCTTTCTCCTTCTTAATATATATTCATCCTTACTTGAAAGTCAGAGTGAGTGATTGATTGAGAGAGACCCTCTACTTGCCAATTCACGTCTTAAATGGTTGCAACAGAGTTGGGCTGGTCCAAAGCCAAGAGCCAGGAACCTTCTCTGGGTTTCACACATGGGTGCAGGGACCCAAACATTGTCTGCTGCTTTCGAGGCCATTAGCGGGCAGCTGAATCTGAAAAGGAACATCACACATGGGTGCTGGAGCCCCAAGCAGAGAATTAGCCCACTAACTCACTGTGTTGGTCCCTCATTTAATGCTGTCCCTCTCGTCAGAGTCTTGTCATTGTTACTGACCTAAAAAAATTAAGATCTAGTAAGTCAGAGATCCTGGCATTAGCCCCCATTTCAGTTCTTTTCTAGTTTTCAAGGCATAAAAAAAAGATTTGATTCCATGAAATCTGATCCACACTTTATAACATCTTTTAAATAAAAGTCAATGCTCTTATTAAAATAAGCTTAACTTTAAACATAAAAACATGCTTTCATAGTACCCATCCTTATCCCTTGAGTGCATTACTTACAACATACAATTTCAAACAGCAAGTTCCAAAGACTTAGAAATTCTAGTTTTATTTTAATGCACAAATAAAACCTGAAATAGGTCTGTTTTAGAGTAAATAAGGTAAGCTCTGTTAGAAATAAGCCATCTGCATCTTTAGATAATTTCAGTTAGGCTAAATGTCTTACCTAAATAGGCTTAATGGGTTACCTATATAGCAACTTTACTAATTCAGCACAGAATTACAAATTAAAAGTGCTCTTTACTAAAACAAGGAATTATGAGTAAAATTACTGGTAAGATAAAACAAATTAAATGTACAAGCATACTATTATTTTACTTCCATTTAAGCCAAGCATACTATGGGATAGATAAAAAGTTAATTGAGGGGCCCAGCGTGATAGTGTAGTGGTTAAAGTACTTGCTTTGCACGCCGGGGATCCCGTATGGGCGCCGGATCTAATCCCAACAGCCCTGCTTCCCATCCAGCTCCCTGCTTGTGTCCTGGGAAAACAGTCGAGGACAGCCCAAAGCTTTGGGACCCTGCACCCACGTGGGAGACCCGGAAGAAACTCCTGGTTCCTGGCTTTGGATCAGTTCAGCTCCAGATGTTGTGGCCACTTGGGGAATGAATCACGGGATGGAAGATCTTCCTCTCTGCCTCTCCCGCTCTATGTCTGACTTTCCAATAAAAATAAATAAATCTTTTTAAAAAAAAGTTTGAGACAAAACGCATGATCTGTATTTTAATGCATTTCAGAGCACAAACTTAACAACATTCTGCTTCAAATCCACATGTTTTCTCTGAAATACAGTGATTTACATAACAAAACAGTTTCTGTAACAAAACCAACATATTAGAAGAGCAAAATGGTTGCAATGCCGCCAATTTTCCTCAAGTACCTACCGGAATTCAGCCTGTGATACTGGTAAATAAATGTTATACATAAAGCTGACCAAACATTCAAGACTAAAGGAATGATTTTAATTTAAATCTAAACCAACAGTGAGCTTTGAAAAAACATTTTAAAAAATCCTCTCAAACACTGTGAACACATTCCTATATGCTTTCACACACAAGTTCCAGGAGAAACTTTTCTTTTTCCATAGGTTTTAACGTCGGGACGGCTCTCAATCCTCCTCTTTTTCAATGTAGGTCTTTGCGTTAACCCGAGCCATTTGTCTTGCTAAGTACCTGTCTCTGGCTGAAATAACAGTTTCTTCAGTGCTTCGTTTTGCAAATTTGTTCATAGACTCGGGTGGTTTCTCCTGTTCTCTGTCTTTCTCTTGCTTTTCCTCTCTGAGTCTGTGTTTTATTCCCAGTGATGTGTCAGAACCAGAGGGCTTCTCCGGGTTTCTTTCTTTGTCCTTTTCCAGGTTTCTCATTTTACCAGATCTTTCCTCATCAAGAAATTCATTCCTTGCCCTAGATTTTGGGTTGTTATCCTTTCTGTCTTGATTTCTTTCTGAAGACTCAACACTTACATCTTGTTTTTCCCTGTCTCTGTATTTATCATTACTTTCATATTTTTCCTTCCTTATTTTTGCATCTTCTTTCGCCTTGTTTTTCTCTTCCCGCTCACTGTGTCGGTCATGACCGTTGCGATGTCTATCTCTTTCTTGTTCTCTTGAGGAGTGTTTCTCCCTGTCTTTCCCTCTTTTCCATTCTCTGTCATTTCTTTCTCTTTGGTCTGTCTCCTTCAGCTTGTCTTCATGTTCATACCTCTTCCAATGGGAATCTCTGTGTCTGTGAGACTCTCTCTCTTTTCGGTAATCAGAGTCAATACAATAATTCTCCTCGTCTCTAGGCTGCCTTCTGTGATGATCTTCCCTTTTATCATGTCCTCTTGATTTGTAACTTTTTGTGTGGTATCTGGAGCTATGCCCTCTTTCTTCACTAGATGACCTGGAGTGGGTCCTGTGACGCTTGCAATCATTCTCTGAGGCCTGTGTCACCTTTTCCCTTCTGTGCTTCACATCATTTTCTTCAATGTTGTCATCCTCACTGCTCTGAGCATCAAAGTCACTGTCCGCATCTGGGTTCTCCTCTACTTTCACATCACTCTGGAGACTGCATTTCTTCTGTGCTGTTTTGTCCTCTGCACTTACTTCATCAGAGTAACCCCTTGACTTCTCTTCCTTTATCCCAGACCTTTAAAATAGGAATATAAACACAAAGTGTCACATTATGAATTGAATAAGCAAATGTTCACTTTTTTTCAGTACTTAAAACTACACAATAATACTATAATTATTACTACTGCAACCATGTGGAGGAATCCGACATTGAAGGAGAGTATGGGGAGGGGTTGGGGGAATCTCAGAGCCTATGAAGAAAGATGACTAAAATACACAAAAAAGCCCCTATAATTATATACACCTTTGATTATTCAAATGTAAAAGGGGGCCAGTGTCTACCTTGTACATATCTACAAAGCAGTATTTTCAAATCTTTCAGAGTAATTCCAATATTTGTGGAAACGATGTGGATAAAACTGTCCTTTCTTTATCAGACCATTACAACCTCAGCCTAGAGTCTGTATAAGATCTTCATTTCTGCTAAGCTTGGATAAATAAATAAATAATAATCAAGAAAAGTAAGTTAAGTGCTGGATCTCAGCTCTACCTTTACCTGTGACTGCTGAATTTTTTGTTTCCTTCTAAGAATATTATAGCAATACTCCTACAAAGACATGATCTTTTTTTCACCGCAAAATAGTGGTAACTAATTCTAAACAATCATTATTCTAAATTTAAACGGCTCTAACTTCTTGATAAGCCTTGGAACTTATCACAACAATATAGAAACAAGAAGTGTTCCTAAGCCCATAGAACATGTGTCATGAAAAAAATCATACATGGTTTTCAAAATTTTTGGAAACAAACTGAACTTACCTTTTAACTCCATTTTTCTAAAAAAATCTTCTGGAGTACCCTCATACAGCAATGTGCCAGCTATCAGAATCAAACACTATTTATATCTATACTTTCATAACTGATAAGTGGTTAATTTACAATGTTTACATTTTCATTTTTATTAATCACACTAACAGTCCAACATCTTTGGTTTTTAGAACTGCTGGAAGAACTATCTTAGATAAAGAAACCACTAATAGTAATGACTTTATCAGACTGAGAAATACAGGCATTTAAATTACATGATGTTGACTGGCATTATGATGTAGGGAGAAGACAATCCCAAGACTCCAGCTTCCTATTTGGATGCTAGTTCATGCCCTGGCTGTTCTGCTTGCAATCCAGCTTGCAACCCAGGTTCCTGACAATATACCTGGGAAACCAGTGGAAAATGGTCCGAGGGTTTGTATTTTTTTAAAGATTTATTTATTTTTGCTGGAAAGTCAGATATACAGAGAGGAGGAGTGACACAGAGGAAGATCTTCTATCCACAGATTCACTTCCCAAGTGGCCACAATAGCTCGACCTGAACTGATCTGAAGCCAGGAGCTCAAAGCCTCTTCTGGGTCTCCCACGCAGGTGCAGGGTCCCAAGGCTTTGGGCCGTCCTTGACTGCTCTCCCAGGCCACAAACAGGGAGCAGGGTGGGAAGTGGGGCTGCCAAGATTAGAACCGGCACCTATATGGGATCCCAGTGCAGTCAAGGCAAGGACTTCAGCTGTTAGGCCACTGCACCGGGCCCAGTCCAAGTGTTTGGAACCCTGCAGCCAATGTGGGAGAGCTGGAAGAAGTTTCTGGCTTAGCCAGGCCCATTTCTGGCCACTGTGGCAATCTGGGGAATGAATCAGCAGATGGAAGATCAATCTCTTTTTCTCTTTATCAGCTATACACTATGGCAAAACCTTCTCACCGTTCCTGTAATATCCCACAGTTTTACTTAAAATCTTCCAGCCTTTTGCTTTGTGGATCAGTTAAGTCTATATTCTTGTATAGTAGCCAGGTAGCTACACAGTAAAAATCAGTATATTAAATGTGGTTTTCATGACTTAAATTTTAGTTTTTACCTATTTTTAATTAACTGAAATAGCCATAAGTAATGGCTACATATTGGACAAAGCAGCTTCAGATTTTAATATGATAATCTTACATTTTATGAAGGCTGGATTCTATTTGTAAAAAAATAACTGCTTTCCTTTTATACACTAATAGAACATGAATGTAGAATAAGCTGACTCCAATGTTAACATATGTGCTGTCAAAGTGAGCACAGACTATGTTGTATGACACACAATTCTTTCTAAATTTCCGCTTAATTCTGATAGCAATCACTGTAAGACACCAGGACCATAAGGTATACCTGTCCTTTTAGGTAAAAACAAAACAAAAAAGACTCATAATTTAGATATGCTTCCCTTTAAAGGGTCATTTTTGAGAGCCACAAAACACAGCTAATCACAAATTTTGTACATTGAAAGTTTTATATGTTCAAAGTCCTTGGTTTTGAAGTGCTAAATTGAATCACTGATGTTATTTTGATGTAAAATATGATAGGTTTTGGAAGCTACAGAAAAATTATCTTTAAATCCATAGGTTTTATTTTTTAAATTTTTAATTAATTTATTTGAGAAGCAGACTGAGAACACACATTCTCATGTGCTAACTCATTCCCCAAGTGCTCCAAAGCGAACCAAGAGCTGAGAACTTAATCCAGGTGTCCCAAAGTGGGGGCAGGAGCCCATCCACCTGAGCCATCAGTTGCTGTCCCCATAGCATTCATCAACAGGAAGCTAGAAGTGAGTGTGGAGTGAGAACCCTCATTCAAACACTCCAAACGGATGCTTCTTAACTATCAAGCCAAATGCCCATCTTAATCTAGGCATCTAATTTAAGATTGGGATTTCCTGGTTCAATAAGGTTAGTTTGGCTGACAACATAAAGCACAACGCTGCAATCTTCCATTTTTCATGGGGTTAGAAGTAACTACAGATTATTAACTTTCTTGCACATATTCTGTATGTGATCTCTTACCTGGCTTCGCGAAAGCTACATTCTGGTACCTCTTCTTCCCCAACTGCTTGATTTAACAGGTGCCTGTAAAATCCACTGAGATCCTTCTGCTTGGTTACATCCAGGCGAGCTAAGAGAAAGCCAAGTGAGAAATCAGCATTAAATAAAGCAAAAACAACACTTTGTTTTGTTTGCACAGTCCTACCCTTAACATCTGTGTTAGACAAACTATTCTCTAAGAGGTGGCAAGCTATGGCATGCTGCTTATTTTTAGAAATAAATTTTCACTGGAACACAGTCCTGCTCAGTTGTTCACGTAGCATCCATGGCTGCTTTGGTACTACAAAAGTAGAACTCAGTAATCATACAGTTCATACACACAAAAAGACAAATATCCTATTATCAGATACCTTATACACAACATGATTGGTAAATATATGCTTAGAAAGAAAGAATCTCACAGATGTGGCTTGCTTCTACTTAAAGCTGTAGAGCACTTGCCAATAAATTTTACTTGGCTCTTGAGGAATGACCATGAGCAGAATGCTCAAGTAAAGCACTAAGATACTTCTTACGTTCTCCACATTTTTACTCTGATTAATTAAGATTATTCTTTTTTATTTTTACTGGAAGGTCAGATATACAGACAGGAGGAGAACCAGAGTTCAATGACACAGTGTACTGCTCACCCCACAGCCGCCCGTGTCCCACGGTCTCTACTCCCTCTCCCATTTTACCTTCCAGGGCAGCAGCTCTCTTTTCTCTTTCTTCTTCTTCAGCTCTCTCTTGTAGCTTTTTCTTATAAGCAGACGTCACAAAGGCCTCTTTATCATCAAATTCTCCCTTTTCCATTTCTCGCTCTCTCTGTATTTTCTTTTCCATTCTTTTTTCCTGTTCCTTCTTTCTGATTTCAACTGCTTTTAGCAAGTTGTGAATATATTTGGGCTAAGGGAAAAATAAAATTAGGAAAGAGCAAAAAATATATATATAATAACATCCTGTAACAATTTCTCAATAATTAAAGTCAGAACAATTAGTTCAAATAGAACTATCTCCTTAAAATTCAAAATAAATTGGGCTCAGTGCGGTAGCCTAGTGACTAAAGTCCTTGCCTTGCATGTGCTAGGATCCCATATGGGTACCAGTTCTAATCCCAGCTCCTCCACTTCTTTTCCGGCTCCCTGCTTGTGGCCTGAGAAAGCAGTCAAGGACAGCCTGGGGTCTTGGGACCCTACACCCGTGTGGGAGATCCAACAGAAGTTCTTCGGGCTCCTGGCTTCAGATTGGCTCAGCTCCGGCCATTGGGGCCACTTGGGGAATGAGCCACCGGACAGAAGGAAGATCTTCCTGTCTCTCCTCCTCTCTGTAAATCTGACTTTCCAATAAAAGTAAACAAATCTTTTAAAAAATTAATCTAAATTTACTAGGAAGATTAACACTGGAAAAAAAATTTTTTTTAATTTTTTTATTGGAAAATCAGATATACAGAGTGAAGGAGAGACAGATTTTTCATCCGTTGATTCATTACAAGTGGCTGCAACAGCTGGAGTTGAGCCAATCTGAAGCCAGGAGTTCCTCTGGGTTTCCCACAGGGGATGGGGGGAGCGGGAAGGGTGTGTCCTTGTGGGATCCTGGCACACTAGGCTACTGTGCCAGGCCCCAATTCACATATTTTAAGATAAGATTAAGCTACTAATGCAAGTCAAGGTCAAAGAAAGCTTGTATTTCAAGTTACCAACCTTTCGATCTTTACTGAGGAGCAATCTGGGATTACTTTCTTCCTTCTTTTTCTGCATTTCATCATAAATGCTGTCATATTCATACACAGTGGAATCTTCAGCAAGGGCCTTCTGAATTTCCAGTTTGGTCTTAAAAATAAGTTTCAGAAATATGAGCCAGGTAACAGATACCACAAAAAGTTCTATGTATTTCTTATAATGGTTCATATATTGGAAATACATTGTAAAAGTTGCTTCAGTCACATTTCAGATAAAAAATATGAAAAGTTCTGGAGGATTCCCTAGGCTTGATTTTTATGCTTTCTTAATACTTTTGCTCACGTTTGTCTTTTTGTGCCTTAAACCTTTATCATCTGTAAAAGTAAGTATAGTAATTCTAGCAAATTGTGATAATATAATGACCTAATAAATGTAAAATACCTAAGATATGGCCTAATAAGGAGTTAAGCATTCAATAAACATTAACTATTACTATCAGATTCATTTGTATATAATTATTCATATCAAAAGGTCAGAAGTCCAAGGTTTAATTGAGAAACACTTCAACCTTATTTTGAAATGCCTATATTATACATATTTCAAAATAACTTCTGGTGAGTTTCTAAATACAATGTCTTCAAATGTATAACAGTAGAAGTAAGTAGTTTCCAGGAGTGGGTGTTGTAGTCAATGGGCTAAGCCAATGCTTGGGATGCTGGCATCCCTTACTGGAGACACAGTCTAAGTCCCTGGTACCCTGTTTCTGATCCTGCTCCCCAAGTGTGCCTAGGAAGCAGGGGCTCAGGCAGCTGGGTCTGTGTCACTCATTTGGACTGAACCAGCAGATGAAGACACTGCTTGTTCTCTCTTTGCCTTTCAAGTAAAACAGTACAACTTTTCAAAAAGGAAAATTCCCAAAGAAGTCATTTGCTTGGGGAGCTGGGTTCCTGTCACTTCTGTGAGAGCCTGAGTTTCTGGGTATCAGCAGAGTGAAACAATAAGCAGAGGATCACTTTCTGTACTCAGTCTCTCTAAAAACTAACTAAATAAAACTACTTCAAAACTCCCCAATAATAGAAAAACAGACACATTTTATCGTTGGTAAGTTTTTGGGACAGTCATCTGGCACAGCAGGTAAGACCCTGTTTAGAATGCCTGAATCTCCTTTCAGAAAGCTTGGGTTCAAGTGCACTCTGGGAGGCAGCAGAGGATGGCTTGACGGCTCAAGTACTTGGGTCTCCTCCACCCAATGTCAGAGACCCAGACTGAGTTCCAGGCTCCGGGTTTTAGCCTGGCCCAGCCTGCTGTTCAAAATATTTGGGAAATGAACCATCAGTTGGAAGATCTTTTTCAAATAAATAAAAAACAATTTTTAAAAACCCAACTGAGAATTTTTGCAAATCATTTATCACATGAAGTACCTTTACAGGTCATCAACATCTTATCCAGACGGTCAGCGTCAGCTCAACTCCTACCAGCTAAATCGGGCCACTTCCAAGAAAATTTTAATTCCCAACAATCATTTCCTTTTGAACTCTAGTAGAACACCTCCATAAAATATTTAATTCTTAATACTACATGCGTTGTTATTTCATTCCGGTTGTTTTGCTAACCTCAGCCTCTTGACCCAGACTGAGTTTTCAGAGGTAGAGTCTACACCTTTTGTTTTTAATTGCTATATTGCCTAATGCAACATGAAACACAAGAAGAACCTTTTTAAAGTGACAGGATTATATCATAATTATTTGATAATTATCTGATATCCCCACTATTTACATACCAACATTTAGACTCTATAGAATAACATACATGCAACTGAACCCCCTTTTTTTCCTGGAATTCTGGTCTCTTAAAATTCTCCAATCTATAAAATTCTGATTCACAGCAGTCTAGCATTTGTTAAGGAATCATTTTTCAATGTTTCTGTATATATATATTAAACTATTCTGAGATCACTGACTACATGTTAGACTGTACTTTGAAACTAAAACATTAACATTAAAACAATTTAACTACATAATCTTTACTAATTCCCCAGGAAGTCAGTAAAACACACTGGCTAAAAGCTTGGGCTCTATAATTTCTGCTACTGTGTAGATCTGAACTGAACTCTAAGATTTACTAATGTGATCTGCTGCAACTCACATAAATGTACTTGCTTTAAATTCCTTGACTATAAATTAAAGATTCTAAGAGCATATACCTCAGGATTGTTTTTAAAGAATTAAAGATAATTATTCAAAAGCAGTTCCCATGACATTTGGCACATTTAAAAATTAGCATAAGGGGCTAATTCCTTTTTCAGATTCAGAATTCTTAATCAGGCGCCAGCATTTTGGCAGAGCGAGTTAAGCCACTGCCTTGGATACCAGTATCCAACAAAGCACTGGTTCAAGTTCTGGATGCTCCGCTTCTGATCTAGCTCTCTGTTTAATGTGCCTGGGAAAGCACAGGAACACACTGAGTTCTTGGGTCCCCACAACCCACCTAGGAGACCCAGATGGAGTTCCAGGCTCCTTGTTTCTGTCTAATCTAGTCACGGCTGTTGTGGTCGTTCAGTAAGTGAACCAGTGGTTGCAAGAGCGCTCTCTCTCCCTCTCTCTAAAACTCTACCTTTAAAATAAATGTTTCTAGAGGGGAGATGGGGGAGGCTGAGTATGGAATAGTTCTTAAGATTAGTGGCAGTTTTTAAAAGGTAATATATATTTAATAAGTGCTTGGAAGTGTTAAGGGAAGCCAAATAATCTACTGTGAAGATTACCGAAGTCATTTGAAAGTTAATCTGGTTTATCTATAGCACAGAAATGAAAAGCTAATTCTTCATTTAAATAACTTTTCCTTTAAAATTTACACAGGAAAACGATGGTTTATATAAATTAGGAAAATTATATATTTTTAGAAAACAAGAGTCACTATAAAATCATTTTCATTACATATACTGCTCTGCTTCAGCCTCAGCATCTAGACACTGACAATCAAAAATGTGAGCTGAGGGGGTGGCATTGTGGCACAATGAAGGGTTCAAGTCTCTGCCTTTGATGTGAGCATCTCATATGAGTATTGGTTAAGTGCTGACTGCTCCATTTCTAACCTAGCTCCCTGCCTGGAAGGCGGCAGATAAAGGCCCAAGGTTTTGGGCCCCTGTCACCATGCTGGAGGCTCAGACAGAATTCCTGGCTCTTGGTTTTAGTCTAATCCAGATTCAGCCATTGCAGGCATTTGGGAATGAATCCAAGGACAGAAGATCTACAAATACGTACATCTTTTAAGTGGAAAGACTTCACTGAGGACATTACATCACTCTTCTGCCTTACCTGTTTCATGGCCTGTTTTTTAGCAGCTTCCCTTTGAAGGCTTTCACTCACGGAGGTCTACGAAACAAAACATAAGGCACTGTTTACATCAACTTAAAATTCATTTTCTAGTATTAGATGGTTCCTTATTTTTAGTTAAAGGTGAAAAGAAAACAATACAAATTAACATTTTCAATGTCTTCATAAACTTCAGGTAGCACATCAACTTTCACAGAATCTTAAAAGACTGTGCAAGATATAAGAAAATGGTACAGGAAAGAAATGGGGGAATGTGGGCTTTTAGTTCTAATTTCATTATATATGTCACTCAAGTCTCTGGGGATTTCATTTGCTGTGTATGCACATGAGTAAGAGAGAGAGTGAGTGTGTGTGTATGTGACTGACTGACTGCATTAAGAGGGTAAAGATTGGATTAGGTCATCTTCAGTGCTTTCAAGCACTGCAATGTTGTATGACCCCAAGCAACAAAAAGCACATTATTTCAACACGTAACTTTGTAAGAATATAATCTATCAAACATCTGATTTTAAAAAAATGTGGCTTATATTTAAGGTCTATGGGCAGCAAGAACTATCTGTGCTTATAACCATTTCAGAAACACATAAAGAAAAGTCTTCCACAGCAGACATTGCTTTAGGGCCTGAGCACAATGTGAAAGCAAGAACAGTCTATCCATAAACAAAAATAATCTGAAGGGAAGATAAATAACCAAGGAGACAATTGCATTATAAATGTGGGTTGAACATTGTGGTACAGTGCGTTAAGCCACTGCTTCGAGAGCTGGTTTGATTCTTTTTTCTTTTTTAAAGATTTAATTATTTTTGTTGGAAAATCAAATATACAGAGAAGAGGAGAGAGGAAGCATGGGCCGTCTGATGACTCACTCCCCAAGTAGCCGCAACAACTGGATCTGAGTTGATCCAAAGCCAGGAGCCTCTTTCAGGTCTCCCACATTGGTTCAGGGTCCCAACACTTTGGGCCATACTCCACTGCTTTCCCAGGCCACAAGCAGGGAGCTAGATGGGAAGAGGGGCCGCCAGGACTAGAACCAGCGCCCATATGGAATCCCAGTGCATTCAAGGCAAGTACTTTAGCTGCTAGGCCATGGTGCTGGGATCGCTGGTTTGATTCTTAGCTCCTCTGCTTCCAACCCAATTTCCTGCTAATACACCTGGGAAGGCAATGGATGATACCCACTGAAGAGACCTGAATAAATTCCAGGTTCCAGGGTTCAGCCTGGCCCAGCTGCAATTGTTACCAGTATTTGGTGCATTGAATCTGTAGGCAGAAGATTTCCCCCAATTCACATGTGCTGCATGTAACTTTAAGTATATAAATCCTTTAAAAGTGCAATGTAAATGTGATACAATAAAGCAATATAATAAAAGAATAAACAAAGGAGTCCAGAGCAAAGAAGTCAAGTATTTACGCATGAGAAAATAAAAGAGATTTTGGAATGAAATCTTTCTAAAAGAGATATGGTAGTACACCTAACCCCCTCCCGCCAAAAAATCTGAGAGAATACAAAGTGGAAGACAGGAAGCAGTTGTTATGAGTAAAGCCTTACAGCTAAGAAAAGAAAGTTAAAACATTTTTGGAAGTATTTTTAGAAGCATCAGGATTATTTAAGAAAGTACAAAATAAAATTACTATGAGAGACCACCTCATACATATTAGGATGGCTATTATGAGAAATTCAAAGACAACACATGCTGGTCAGTGCAGATGTAGACAAGAGGGAACACTAACTTGTAGACTGTCGGTGGTGATGTAGATCGGTAGAGCCATTGTGGCAGATAGTATGAAGACTTACAAAGAAACTAAAAACAACTACTGTATTATTCAACAATCACCTGGGCATATTCCCCAAAGGAAATGAAATCACCACCTCATAAATGTTCTTTGGCTACCGCCATGGTGTAGTACGTTAAGCCTATGCCTGAGGCACCTCATATTGCTCCTGGTTCCAGTCCTGGCCATTCCACTTCCAATCTAGCTCCTGTTTAATGTGGGAGACCCTGATGGAACCTGTGGCTACAGACAGACACAGCTCTAGCTGTACTGGATATTATGGAATAAATTACCATTAATGGCAGATCTGTCTCCTCTGTAACTGACTTTCAAATAAAAATAAATGTATCTTTAATGAAAAAATAACAGCTAAGAAAAGCAAACAACCCAAGGCTGGTACAGAGGCATATCTTTTTTTTTTAAAGATTTATTTATTTTTATTACAAAGTCAGATACACAGAGAGGAGGAGAGACAGAGAGGAGATGATTCATTTCCAAAGTAAACACAACGGTCAGTGCTGCACCAATCCAAAGCCAGGAGTCAGGAGCCTCCTCCAGGTCTCCCACATGGGTGCAGGATCCCAAGGCTTTGGGCTGTTCTTGACTGCTTTCCCAGGCCACAAACAGGGAGCTAGATGGGAAGTGGAGCCGCCGGGATTAGAACTGGCGACTATGTGGGCTCCCAGTGCTTTTAAGATGAGGACTTTAGCTGCTAGGCCACCGTGCCGGGCCCCAGAGGCCTATCTTGATAATCTTCTGCCTGCAGTCCCAGCATTCATATGGGTGCAGGTTCAAATTTCAGGTGTTCCACTTCCAATGTAGCTCTTTGTGGCCTGGGAAAGCAGCAGAGGGCGAGCCAAGTTCTTGGACACCTGCACCCATATGGGAGACCATAAGTTGTTCCTGGCTCCCAAATTTAGAGTACCCCCAGCACTGGACACTGTAGTCACTTGGGATGTGAACCAGTGGATGGAAACGTGCGCATTCTCTCTGTAACTGCATTTCCAGTAAAAATAAAAACTTGAAAAGAGGCAAAAAAAAAGGGGAGGGGAGGGGAGAAGTATGGAGGAGAAGTCAGGAGGAAAACATCCTAAGTATCTATTAATGACAAATGGATGAATTATAGTCTATTAGTCTAAAAAAGGGAAATCCACTGCAAGGATTTGGTACCACAGCCTACAATGCCACTTGTCATGTCTGCGGAATGCCTGCTTTCAGCCTCCTGGCTACCCAGCCTTCAATCCAGAGGCAGCAGGTGAGGACTCAATGCCTGCATTCCTGCTGTGCACAGGGGAGACCTGGATGGGGCTCCTGGCTCCTTGCTTCACCTTGGCCCTGCCACAGCTGTGGCAGGCATTTGGAGACTGAAATCAGAGAATTGATCTCTGCCTTTCAAATACAAGGAAAACCATTTTTTAGACAGGAAATTCTGATGTCTGCCACAACACAGTTGAGACTGGGGAATATGTGTTAAGTGAAATGTCTGAAATAAAAAAAAAAAAAAAGAAATGCCTGAAATTAAAATAAAAATGTTGCATAATTTCATGTATAGCTAAATCTTAAAAATACTTTCAACTATACAGAGATGATGAACAAAACAGTGGTTACAGGGCATGGAACAGGGTATAAAAATATACTTCATAATAAGTGAGATTGTAGCTGCAAGTCACAAAAAACAAAAAATGGTAACTGAGACAAATGTTAATTTCCTTTATTAAACATATATAACATGTGCAATTGCAACAACCAGCATGTACATAAGCTGACTGGGGCGACAGACGGTGCCAGACCCTGTACTGGCAAGCACACACAAGAATCAGGTCTAGGATCACCTCAGATGAAGTTTCCTTGCAGATCCCTCCAACTGAACTGCTGATCTCAGAACCTCAACCATGAAGAGACTATGTCAGCCAGTGGATTCTGAATAGATTTCATTTTGACTGGAATGGCGAGAATGGCAGCAATTCAAAACTGCTGAACTATCAAAACTATCAAAACTGCTTGAGCAGGAACTTCAGAGCATGCCCCATATCAGGGACCTGGATGTGTGGCAGGCTGAGTGGTTTCTCCCCTGACCCCAGCCAGATACAGGGAAGAAAAATGGTATTAGTGTGGAAACAATGGTCCAATGTATTTTTATGCTTTATCAATGTGAATGTATATTTTCTTCACTCCTACTGTCAAATTAGAGAGCTTATTTGGCTGAATTCAGAAAGAGAAGAAATTAGGTTTCATATTATGCATCATTTGAGTAAAACAAAGCTTATGTGTAACTATCCATATATGAGCCTCTAACTTCAGAGTTGTGTTATAAATTTTTAGGAGGAAATACAGAGGAATGGTCACATGTGTAATTTCAAGATTCTGGAGTTTCAATTTCTTACTACCAATACTATTCCAAGGAAGGTCAACTTTCTTGCTTCACTGTCTTCAGAGGAGTACATGAAATTTAAGGAGACTTCAAAAAGTTCATGGGAGATGGAATTAAAAGGTTATTTTGCAAAAACTTCTGAAATTTACATATAATTTTTTCATACTACATTTTGCATGAACTTTTTAAAGATCCCTAATATTACATAGACAGTGCTTAGAATCTGACTCACAGAAATGCTTAGTAAGGATCAGCTATAATTTTTGCCATCGTTACAATGTTTGTACTTAGGAACAGAGGGCTTGGGGCCTGCACTGTAGCACAGCAAGTTAAGTGACCGCCTGTGGTGCCAGCATCCCATATGCGTGCTTGCTTGAGTCCTGTCTGCTCCACTTCCAATTCAGCTACCCGGTAGTGAACCTGGGAAAGCTGTAGAGGGTGTACCAAGTGCTTGGGACCCTGCAACCATGTGGGAGATCCAGCGGCCTGTCCAACCCAGCCATTGGAGCCATTTGGAGAGTGAACCAGCAGATGGAAGCTCTCCTTCTCTCTCCCTCTGTATCAACAGATACTTTGTCCTTTTATTCTGTTTTTTTCTAAGATTTATTTTTTTATCTGTTTGAAAGTCATAGAGGAGGAAGAGGAAAGAAGGAGAGAAGAAAAGTCAGAGAAACAGGGAGTCAGGAAACAGAGACAGAGAAGGAAAGAGAGAGATAGATTGATATTGATTCCACTTATCTGCTGGTTTACTCTAAATGGCCACAATGGCTGGGCATGGCCAGGCCAAAGCCAGAAGACCAGAGCTTCTTCCTGCTCTTCCACATGGGTACAGGGGTGCAAGCACTTGCACCATCTTCTGCTGCTTGCCCAGCAGTAGCAGGGAGCTGTATCAGAA